TACAAATGGCTAATATTTTAAATTAAAGAATTAAAGGTAGCAGGTTACTCAGTAAGCATCACAGATTTTTATCTATCATATATCTCTTTAACTATCTAATTATCTATGACTATTTCTTTAGCCAATAATTCTGAGATGGAAGCTAGAGAGAAATCTTCAGAAAATAAACATTTCATTTTTAGGAAAGGAACATATATAAACTACCACTCAGTAGACAACATCCTTTATCATGAAAGAATAAATACAGATCTAAATTGGAGTAAAAAGTACCATAGAAAAAGTAACTTATCTATTAGCTCTTTTAAATATTTTCTAGGGAATCTTCTACTTAAATTTTAGGACAAAAAGGAAACCCAAAACAAAACTGAACAGATAACTTTCAGAAAGTTCTGAAATAAAAGTAAAATACTTGAGTGAAATGTTTGTTAGAAGAAATAAAACAATTATTCATCAACAAAAAGATGATGATTAAGAAAGTAGACTTTGGGCCAGCAGGTGGCGTGGTGGTTAAGGCCATATGGTTGACTGTGGTTTGAGTCCAGGGCTTGGTGGCTTGGAAATTACACTGGGTGTGCATGCATGCAAGTGTGTTTGCCCAGAATCCCAGGAAGAGAATGAGGAAAAAGGATTAGAGCATGGCCATCCCCCTGGGAGGTGATTTCTCACTTTTACTCTCTCTGTCTCTGTCTTTCTCTGGTGAAAACAAATAACTTATGGCACAAAAATCTTAAAAAAAAAAATAAAATAAAATAAAGTAAAAGGAAAGTAGCCTGGATGTACTGGGAGAGAAGTTGTGAGACCTTGTAAATGATCCAAGCAATTTAGTGCAAATGTTTTCTCCAAAGACTGTGTGTTGAAAATGGAGGGGGTAAGTAATTGGTTAAGCACTTGGAGAGATTTGTAATTCCCCCAGAGAATCCACTAATACTGCTGACACATTCAGCCATGATCAAAGGCTCCGTGTTGCATACTTGGACCTTCTGAAACCTGGACTTTGAAATTAGATACTGAGATGTTAGCAGTGTGGGGGAGTAGAAAGAAAATTGGATGGGGACTAAGATTTGGTTGTGATCTTGACAACCAAATAAGCTATCCTATAAGCTGAGCGACCTTGAAAAAGTGCATTCATTTCTCAATGTGCAGAGTCCTCATTTGAATAAAAATAGTTAATGAATGTTTAATTTATAATTCAGAAATGTAACTTAATTTCTAGCACACAGTTTGGCATATGGGAGGTGCTCGATAAATATTTTTCCTAAGTTAAAATGATTTTAGTGAATTTCTTTTCATGAGGAAAGCAAGGAAGTTTTATTTTCTCTCTCTCTTTTATGTATTCTTGAGTTCCTGCCATTTCCCTCTTAATGCTATATTTGCTTAATAATTTATCAGTTTTGCTGGGTGAAATGCAGAGCTGACCATGTAAAAATAAAAAGTACCTTCAGAGTGAGCCTGTAGGGTTTTGGAGTCTCACATATAGATCTGTATTCAGGTTGAAACCTAGGCACGTACAAGATTGGGGTTGGTATAGAATATTAAGGATGAAACTGGGAATGAGAGAATCTATACAGAGTTTGTTTGAATGCTAATCAATCATGAAATCACCACTTCCTGGCTATTGGGATTTGCTGCCCAAGAAGCCTGCAATTCAACAAAGAACGGGGATCCCCACAGAACTCCTTAGTCTGGCTCTAACCCAGACACTCTGGGCAGAAGGAGGCAGAGTAGGTGTTAGGAAAGAAAACTGAGATTTCAGGAGTGGAAGGAATCCCTTGTTTCAGAATCTTGCATATGTGTAATTGGTATTTTAATACAAATCGAGACTCCGTGGCAGAAACGTGACGGCCCTGTGAACATGACTCCGAACCACACAGCCGGTTGCCGAGTTAATTTACTTCTTTTAATGGTCCCCTTGTGCTCATTTGATATTGTTTTCTGTGTGCAGCCTCCCTACCATGCCTCTTGCTAAGTCAATCTACCTCTCTGAATTTAATGTACTTTGACGCGAGCTGGTGTAGGAGAGAAGAGACTGCACTCAGACACAGGAAGCTTCTCCACAGGACACAGTGCCTTCATTGCTTTCCCCCTGCCAGGAGGCTGTGGGAAAACCTCCCCAGAAAGAATTGATGAAGAAGGGATGCACACAGCCCACCTGGGCTGAACGTAAGGAGGAGCTGAATCCAGAAACAATTCTTCCCAAGAAAACTTCTAACTCTGCCTCTTCCCCACAAATCCTCACTGTGGAGTGAAACTAATTTAACAAGATATCCCCATTTCCTCTGAACAGTGGTGAAAATATTCCTACAGGACTTTATTAAGACAGACCCCAAAGTACTCATCAGGCCAGTGAAAGGGAAAAATCCTGCTGTGGCCTTTCTCCCCACTGCACCACTGCAATTAAAGAAGAAGCCAGTATCAAAGCAGACAGGTAACTTTATAAGCACGCCAGGTATCTGACCATGCCCAAGGCCACATTTTTAAAGGAAAGAGCCATTATTTTTCCAATGGTATGGGAAAGGAGCTGCAGGACAAGCAGGTTAAATTGAAAAGGCCTTACAAGTACCTTTGGAGATTAACAGTATCACCTGAAGCCAGGTTTCTATCAGTTATGGATTCAATATTTTGCTGGAGTTTGATGAGGTCCACGGGGATGTTTGCAAAAGAGGAGTGTGATCAGCCCTCTACTTTGGCAGCTGGTTGGCATCCCGTGCAGAGATTGCAAGAAGTTTTGTACTTCCACATGAATCTAGCATTCCTACAACAATATGTACTCTGTGCCAATAGGAACTCAGATGTTAATCATAGCAGTTTCATTTCAATAATGGATTGAGTGGAAGGGTGACTGTGGAGAATGATCTAGGGGCCAGGTTATTATTTGAGAAACACAAAACATAAATTTGATTTTGTCTTTAAAAAGTGAAATTTTGCTAAGTTTTAGATTTGGAAATAAGCAATGCATACTGCATTATTATAGGCTGGAAAGGTATTTATTTTTTTTTTTCTATCCCTTGGACTATTCTATGATTTCCCACTCCAACTTTTTCTTTTTTTGTTTTGTTCTTGTAGGTTTCTGCCATAAGGTATGTGTGCTTGCCAGAGACAGAGAGAGGAAAAGGGAGAAATTGTCTCCCCTTCCCCCATCAGGATGCCATGCCATAGTCTTTTCTCTTCCATTCTTCTCTTGAGATTTTGGGCATGCACGCACATGTACCCAGCTTGAGTTTCAAGCATCTGGGTCTGGGACTCAAACCACGTGTGTTCATGTGCCCAGTGTGAGTTTCAAGCCACTGTGTCCGGGACTCGAACCATGGTCAGCCATGTGGGAGTCCAGTAACATATCCATTATGCCATCTACTAGTTCCCTTTCATACATTTCCAAGACCTTCTTAATCCAAATTTGTGTCTCATCTGTTAACCCCAATGAGAGTTTCAGGGATTTAACATTCTTGTTTTCAAATAGGTTAGCTCTTTAAAAGGAAAGCAAAGGAAGAGGGGCCAATCACCTACAGTTCCCTCTGATCTTGAGAAGTGTTACAACAAAAATTTTCTCTGCTCCTCACAGTTCAATTTAACACTCTATACAAGGCTATCTTAGTTCTGTGGGGTTCAGGAGACCAATTTAGACTGTGTATTTTTCACTCTTTGTTTGCATTGTTCTTTTATCCAACTGCAAGACTGCCTTTCTTCTAGCAAAATGTCAAATGGTGGGGAATTTGCTCAATTAGCTTTGCAAATGTGTGTTTGACTTCCTATGGCATCTTTCTCCTCCTTTCTTTGTTGTATATTTCTTATATTTCAAAGGGGGACATCAAATAAACTCTTCTTTTGAAAGAAATTAGCATTTTAATTCATAGGTGATAGTTTGCAGTTGTGTTTCTGATTATATTTTTAATTAAAGGACAAAATACACATGCATCTTTTTCGCATTTGATTCAGTTATTTTGGAGGTGAGGAAAATACATAAGTCCCATTGCATTTGAGGGTAATATTTTGACATAAATAACTTTATCACACGAAGTAGCTTAACCAATGGGCTGTATAAGGCCTGCAAACTACAAAACAATTCTTTTCTCATCTTATTTGCATAAGCCTTTATAATTTTAGTTAAGGATCTAAAAATACATAAAAACTAATTGTTTAATGTACATGTGATAGGGATTGGAAAGGTATATTTGTTATCTAATAAGATAAAATCAATAAAGTAATTATTTAAATGGTTGATAGTGATTTGAGATTCTTATTTAAAGGTGGGGAAAATAGAAGAGATAAGCTGAAATCAAAGTAAAGGAAGTAAAACAGTGAAATCTTTGATGATACACATCCCTCATCATTCTCTTTCTCACTGAGTCCTTTTTTAATTTAAGTTTCACCAGCCACAAACAATAGTTTATTATTCTCATGAATACCTTAGCTATTCTCTTGATTTTTATATCTAATGCAGGTAAAGAAAAACATTCATCATTGTTCCCTTTTCTCTTTCCCCAAATACGAAAGAGGTGGATACAGTACAAGAAATACAATTAAAGGTCTTCAAAGGGCCACTGGCATTGCTGAAGCTAAGCGCCTCTTATCTGCATCGGAATTCAGTTTCTTTGAAGTTAATTCAGAGATTATACTTCATGCCTTAAACATTCTTTAAATAAGAATGTGCATTTTACCTTTTACTAAAATCCTCTGGAACCTCAGGTGGAAATGAAGCTGAGTGTTTCACTAGTTTCAGTTCCAGCCATGGGGCAAGGGGAAGAATTATAGTTTTTGAGGTCCCTTCTTTAACTTATTGGCAGGATAGCAGTACTATCAAAACAGTGCTTTTGTCTTCTTTCTTTCTTTCTCCTTAGTTTTCAGTTTTCTTCCGCTCCACTGGAAAATCACGACATGCATATAAACGTATGAGATACACCTGATGTGCTCTGCTTTCCGTATGTAGCTAATTGACAAATGACTCGTCGCTCCATGTGTTATAAATAGTCTGTGACTCTCTTGTAATACAGGTGTTTTCCCCAGCTTCAGAGGGATGTTGGTGGCTAAAGAGGAGCTGGGATAACTTTTGAAGGTAAATTTACTCAAGTTTTTAGCATGTTTGGCAGCTTGGGTTTGGGAGGGCATAAGTTTTCCTATAGAAAGCAATGTGTTCCCCACAGTGGGGGATTGGCATGCAGAGCAAAAATAGTCTATGAGCAAATACACTGAGTATGCTGGCATGAGCAGGTCTTATTTGAGCTCAGGTTAGGTAGTGGGGGAGACTAAATATGTTCAGAGGGAACTAGAACCTGAGAGTTGTGTGTATTTCTCCCAAGAAAGCCAGTAAGTTGTTGAGGAATGTAAACCTACACCAGTAGGGTGGGTATGTAAGAGCAGATAAAACACTGTGTCGAATACAAAATTTCAAGTGGACTCAAACTTTGACATTAACATCTTATAATATGTAAAATTACCTACTTTTGTTAAAGAGTGACTGAAAACATTAAAGTGGTCAACATGGGGAAAAATATTTTGAATCGCTCGTCTGTAATTCATATTTAATAAGGTTGCTACATTGAACTAAAGGTATGATTAGACGAGTAATGAGACCATCATTTTTCATTGCTCGGGGCCTGTATATATTGATATCTTCCTCTCCTTCTGTGAGATGTTATTAATATAAAGTCTATGTAATTGTAAGAAAGTTTACCATGCAAAAGAGTTTTAACTTAAGTTCATTGCAATATAAATTAATGACTTAAGAATAGGCAGGTATCCATTTTTATTTTGAAGGGTAAACAATGCCTAAATTGATTAAAGATTATTAACTGTCAAAAGTCATACAAAGCATGCATTAATTTATCAATTCAAGCCTTTCCTGCTACTTATGTTTATTTTTCTTAAACTGCTTAGTAACTCCTGTTATAATACAAATAAAACTTATGGCAAATATGGCAGCTTTTTCATTTTAATTTAGTCCTCCTTTAATACCATGATTAATGAACTATTGACTTGGAAATCTAGTCCTTCTTTTTTTCTTTCTTTTTTTAAATTATGCTGTGGAAACTGAGAATTTCTGCCACCCATAAAAAGGGTAAAATTGACCATTAAAACAAATACAGGTATTGTCAAGTACAAGTGCAATGCATTTACTTCTGTAAATATTCTCATTTTTAAAATTTTCAAAATACAGCACTAATGGCAACAGCCAAGTGCTTAAATATTTGAAAGTTTATTCAAATATATTTTTTGAGGTCTTACTATGTGTCAGGTTACATTTTAAGTACTAGGAATGTAACAAGTTCGGAAACTATAAATAAAGGTATCTGTTCTTTTCTTCCTGATATTATGGGGTTGGGGAGATGATAATAAACTATGAATGTAATAAGTCAATCATACAGAATTTTAGGAGTTTATAAAAAGATAAAAAGATATATGGGAACCAGCAGTTAGCATAATGGCTATGTTGCTGGACTCCCACGTTGTCGACCGCGGTTCGCGTCCCGTGGCTTAAAACTCACGCCGGGCGCGTGTGCATGTGTGCCCAAGATCCTGAGAGGAGAATGGAGGAGAAGGGATTGTGGCGTG